AAATCCAATGACCTCATTGGAACTTGAACCCGCGACCTTCCGACTTGTAGCATAGTGCCTCAACCAACTATGCTACTGTGTGCCCCCACTATATATATTTCCCCTGCACCCCCACATTATTTCTTGCTCAATCCTAGGATCCCACTGACCCCAGTCGAGAAAGGCTGCTTTAACAGAAAAATATTGTTAGAATCAAGGCAGGTAGGTACAAAGAGCAAGTAACCATTTAAAAGGCTCAATGTACTGCTTCTAGCTATGGAGTGTTTATTGGCTCTAAGAATATATCCAGCCAACAACTTGGAGGTGTTTCATAAATATTCAGAATTCCAGTTGCGGGTGTTACAGTCTACCAAAAGGGAGTATAGCATGCTGGAACAAAATTTTATACCCCATTTTGCACAGAAAATTAAATGTTTATTGCATAAAAGTAAGCAATTCAAAGTATCAATAAAGGCAGTTCTTGTGATTCAGAACTTCTACTTTGCAGATTAAATCCTATCTCAAGCAAGGTCAACTTCACCAGTGATAGGTTCTACTACTGTTCTGCTAAGAAGTGTTAGGCTAATTGTAGTCATGTGTCTGATTGCAGTGCATAAATTTGTATCTGCTTGCTGTCTCTGAACATACAGCAAAATTGCTATAAAGTTACTCATAGTGTGGCTGTGTGATTGAATCTGTTACATTTCCAAATGTGTTGTGTTGTACTCTGACATAGCCCCATACCCTTTTGTCTAGAGCTGGTGGGATAAAGATGTGTCTACCTGCCTATCTTGCTGGCAATGATGATTTTCAGAAACCTGGACTCAACTCATTGTGTCTTCTCTTGTTTTGTCAATTCATTGTAAACCTGATTGGCTGTGTGAAGAGGTCTGATGTTTTTGAGGACCAAAACAAAATTCTCTTGCAGCAGTCTGTGTTCACTAGCTTTAGCTTCAGGATTAATCACAGAGAGACAACAGAATATTATGGGGATACAGGAAAAGCATTAGAATTTAAGAGAAGAGGTTTCACATTGTAGCAAAATAAGTATGGGTATATTTTTCAATAGTTATGTGGGGATGATCTGAACAATACAAGATGTGAAACCAGCAGGCATTTCAGGAATAAAGAGAGGAAATATTTGAAAGACAAAATTGATGAGCTTCCAATGAACAGTAACTCACTCATGGAGCTGAGCCCTTCTTGAGAACCTGCCAATTGTGCAGCTACTCAAGAACTTTCCAGCACATATGGAAGAGAAGAGGAATGCATATAGGATATTGGTGAGAAAGCCAGAAGGAAAGAGACCACTGGGAAAACCAAATCGTAGGTAGGTGGACAATATTAAAATGGATCTTAGAGACAAGATGGAATGATACGGATTTGACTTGTCCTATATCATGTATAATGATCAATGGACATGAAGTAAATAAATAAATTTGATTGATCTGGTTCAGGATCGGGACCAGTGGAGGGCTCTTGTGGATGTGGTTATGAATCTTTGGTTTCCATAAAATGCTGGGAAGTTCTTGAGTAGCTGCACAATTGGCAGATTCTCAAGAAGGGCTCAGCTCCACGAGTGAGTATGTGGGCTCATAACTGGATTAGCTTTCATTGTATATTTACTAAATAAGAATTTGCTTTGTGAGACCATGGTATTCCAACCTAACGCAGTGTTTGTGGTTAGCTCTTTCTAAACGACGTAACGGCCCGAAACTTGTTAAAATAGAGTGATCCCGAGGAATAGTAGAGAATTTGAATGCAACCAAGCTAACGACGCCGGAATTAGTACCCTGATATGTAAAGCTTGCAATATATATATATATATGTCACTTACTACTACTGAAACCTTCAAGAATTCAAGAACGTGCTACAGAAGGCCGGATGGGTATTGTCTAGTCCTTTCTCCGTATTTACGATCATTTTTTACCGCAATAAAAAATTTATATTTACAAGCATTTTGAACAATAAAAAAATAGCAAAATTGATCCGTGGACAGTCGTAGCTCGGTTGTGTAGTAATTAATAATCCGTTATGTTAGTATTCCGTAGCGGTTGGCATTTTGAGTTTTGAGAAGTTCAGCACCTTCAACGCGTTCAGCACGATCCCATATCTCGTGTGTTATTGGTTGCGTTGCCAAAGTCGTGGTCAGTCGTGGTCGCTCGTGGTCGTGAACGTCGTGAAAGTGGGAGTCGTCGTGAAGTGCTGCGTATGTTTTTTTTATTTGAGGTGGATGTGTATTTGGTAGTTATTGGCGCATGATATATCTTATATCCGCGGAAGCAACTCTGTTTATAGTTTCATATCTTACTCCTGTTTGAGGTGAGAATTATCATATTTGAATATCGTGTGCACCTTGAAAAGTAACCTGAACATTGCTTATCAACCAACATTCCAAGCGTAGGCCCGTAAATAGGCCTTCATGAATCACACCTGTTGTTCTGCCTTTGTTCTAACCGTTTAACGTAATGTAAACGAAAAATTCCGCGGGAAAGTGATACGGATATTACGGTGTACTGGCCGTCGGGCCATGTTTCGCGTAATTCCAATGACAGTAGTTCCACATTGCATAAAAGTTCGACTCTTTTCTTTTTAAAACCGATTGAAAATATTTTGTCAAGTTGCCTTCTATTTAGTTACAATTAGTGGCTTCAGAGAAAACAGTTTTGGACCGATAAAATTCTAATTTTTAGGGCAGCGTGCATTATCTTCCCATCACGCAATTTTACCGCTTCCACTGACCATTGTTGGGTTGGTGATTTTATATAGTACAGGTATATAGGATCACTTTTAAGGCGTTAACAACTTCAGAAAAATAATCTTAAAATGGAAACAGTTGAGTGCTCCGTCACCTTCCAAGGATGCCGCAACAGGACCATTAAGGGCTTAGCAGAAGGTGTCGTGAAAGATGAAAGATGTCTTCGTGATTTGTAGCCCCCAAAAATACATTCCGTTCTAGCTAATGGATGCAGCATATCCTCATCAGCAGTCACTGCTTACCATATTTGGCATCTCTTGGCTGAGATGTCATCATCCTGTGAACAGTCAGTGCCAAGAAACAACAGAGTCAGTGTACCAGTGGACTGTAGGCTAGATGGGTGAGAAATGAAGGTACAATTCCCAGTAAGAGCATGCATACCAGCTTTCCTTGTTCCTGGCATACATCCCATCCAATGGGAAAGAAGGTGTCTTTCCTCTGGAGGTAAAGCAGTCAGGGTGTGAACCTGAGCACTCATCTTCATCTGATGCTGGTATTATGAATATGTGAAACTCTTACCTTGACTTTGACCCATCTTTAATTTCTACTTTTAACAGCATGCTTCCTATGTTGGCAGAACATTAAACATGATCTTGTAAACTGTACTTGTTTGACATTGTCCCTTCACAGCTCGGTGGAAGAGTGTTCCAGAAGAGAAAGAAACTGCGTGGTACTTCAGTAAACAGTGTGCCTTTAACTGTTATGAACTGCAAATTCATCTTGTTACACAAGCCCAGAAAAGTTTTGACATCATGAACACTGGATATCTTATTCATTTTCATGTTAAAATGGAAATTAATTTATGTTCCCCCCCCCCCACCATGCCATGTTTCAGAGTGGTTGCTTGCTTCATATCTGTGCTCCTTTCTGTTTAGAAGTTTAGTTCTAGAGGAGATCACAGAAAGTTCATCATTTTCGGTAATATTAAAGCTGTGTTGTATGTTTTTGTAGGGTTGGAATCTACAGGAGCAAGATGAGACTGTTAGCTTTAGATGAGGGGGATGTAGTTCTGTTTAACAGTCAAGTTAATCGAACCTTGTATACAGTGTACCGAGATAATGCAGATGCCTTCACTCTTATGTGGAAACAACAGGTAAAGTGCTTTTCAGTGTTGAAAGGTACCATCATTTAAGAGCAGAATGATTGGTTGTCTGTTATAGCCTGGATACACAGGGGCATCTCCCCACAGTTTGATTGGTCTAGGGACACCAGCTGTCAATATCTGACTTACTTCAGTAGTGTCAGTGTCTACCATTTTAAGCGCTGCTAGAAAAAGCACCTTTTTAATTTATATCACCTGTGTGTTACATCGACCACCTTTGTGGTCTAGTGGTCAGAGTTCCTGGCTACAGATCCAGAGGTCCGGGTTCTATTCCTGGCGCTCCTGAATTTTCTGAAAAGTAGTGGGTTTGGAATGGGGTCCACTCAGCCTCATGAGGATAATTGAGCTATTTCTAGGAAATAGCGGCTCCAGTCTAGAAAACAGAAATTAACGGCCATGGGGATTCATTGCGCTGACCACATGACAGCCTCTATCCGCAATAGTTGGCACTAACTTTGCAAGCGGCGGTCACTTGGTCGGCATTGTTCGCTTGCAGACTGAAACCACAGAATTTGTTCTGTGTGTTGCATCACCATGATGTTACATGCCTGGGTCCAGCAAGCCTATGTTTCATTTCATACAGTATAGATACCATTATCACCAAGCTGGAGTCCAGCTGCAGATCTCCAGTAGCAGATCTAAATCCCCTGTTCCTGAGTGATAAGCATTATGTAGCTGAGATAATCAGGATATAAAACTATTATTTGGCAGATAGGTACAAACATTTTAGAAACATCTGTTGCCTCCATTTTCTGGGGAGAAATGTTTTCTGCCTTGAAGATGGAAATAGCAAGTTACTCTGAAATATGTCTGTCTATTGAACCATATGGCATCATGTTCCTGAAGACCATAACTTACCATTTAGCACCCTGAGAACATCGGATCATGTTAAAATTACTGCATTTTGTTATGTTTTAGCACTGCAGTTTTGTGAAAGTAGTAGAGAGAAAATTTAGAGTGGCAGAAAAGAAGGAAAGAATAAAGGAATTCGCACATGGACTGAATATCTTAGGAGAGTGTACATTGTCAGTTATATACTACTCTGTCCAAAAAGTATCCGACCTTGGGCCGGGAAAAAGAAGTTCTGTATCTGGTTGGTTACAATATCTAATCGCCTTCAAAGTAGGCCCCTTGTGACTCCACACACTTAGCCCAGCGGTCCTTCCATCGCTGGAAGCAATTCTGGAAGGCTTCTTTTGGAATGGCGTGCAGCTGCACCATCGCGTTCTGTATGATGTCCTCGCGGCTGTCAAAACGGCAGCCTTTTAGCGGTGTCTTCAATCTCGGGAACAGCCAGAAATCACAAGGAGCCATGTCAGGAGAGTAGGGAACCTGGCGAACCTGCGGAATGCCGTGCTTGGCCAGGAAACCCTGGATCAGGTGTGATGAATGAGCTGGGGCGTTGTCATGATGCAGCTGCCAGTTGCATGCGTCCCACAGCTCCGGTCTCTTGCGCCGAACTGCATTGCGAAGATGGCAAAGGACTTCTTGGTAGTACTTCTTATTGACAGTCTGACCTAGTGGTGCGTTCTCATGATGCAAAACACCCCGGTAATCGAAAAAAAACCAGCCAGTATCACCTTCACATTGCTCCGAACCTGTCATGCTCTTTTGGGCCTCGGGGATGTTGAATGCTTCCATTGTGACGCCTGGACGTTGGTTTCCGGGTCATATCCGTACACNGAACTGCATTGCGAAGATGGCAAAGGACTTCTTGGTAGTACTTCTTATTGACAGTCTGACCTAGTGGTGCGTTCTCATGATGCAAAACACCCCGGTAATCGAAAAAAAACCAGCCAGTATCACCTTCACATTGCTCCGAACCTGTCATGCTCTTTTGGGCCTCGGGGATGTTGAATGCGTCCATTGTGACGCCTGGACGTTGGTTTCCGGGTCATATCCGTACACCCACGACTCGTTACCAGTGATCACAGTCTTCAGGAACTCAGGATCCCTGTTGGCGCACTCCAGCATGTCCTGCGCGACCTCAAGGCGGAGTTGTTGCTGCTGTTGCTGCGAAAGCAGCTTGGGCACAAATTTTGCTGCCACTCTTCGCATGTCCAAATCCTCAGTTAAAATTGTGTTTGCGGAACCTCTGCTGATCCCAACCTCATCAGCAACTTCATGGATGGCCAAACGACGGTCCTCCATGATCAGTGTCCGCACTTCTTCAATGACATCAGCATTTTGGCTCATTGACCGTCTCCCGGAACGCTGCTCACTGTCGGCCGACATATGGCCATGTTTAAAGCGGTTGAACCACTCTTTAATTTGAGTGACCCCCATTGCATCATCGCCGAAAGCCTGCTGAATTTTGCGAATTGTTTCCGCTTGGGTATCCCCAAGTTTCTGACAAAACTTAATGCAG